CAAATCAAAAGTGGGAAAAGAGGCAGTACCAGACAACATACCGGCTGAGGCATTAAAACCAGGCATAGCAGTAACTGCCCAGATGTTCCATACTCTCTTCAGCAAGATTTGGAAGGAAAACAAATACCAAAATACTGGGAAGAAGGACACTTCATCAGGATTCAAAATACAGAGGATCTCATCAAGTTTGGGAACTGCAGAGGCATCACTCTTCTTTCAATACTGAGAAAAGACTTCAGTGCAGTCCTGTTAGACAAAATTAAAGATTTCGTAGATGCCCAGCTTCGAGATCAACAGGCTGGCTTCTTCAATCATCAATCTTTCATAGACCGATTCATAACACTACAAATCATTGTGGAATAATCAATTGAATGGAGTTCACCACTGTATATCAACTTCATTGACTACCAGAAAAAATTTGACATCGTGGAAAGGATCACCTTATGGACGCTTCTTCGATATTATACTGTACCTCAAAAGATAGTCAACATCATACGAAATCCTTACATTGGGACAGCTCATAGACACATTTGAAGTGAAGACCAGTGTAAGACAGGGTTGCTTACTCCAACCCTTTCTCTTTCTTCTCATGATCCACTGGATTACGAATAGGTCAACATTTCGGGGGAATCACGAAACACATTGGACAATTCTGTTGCTGATGAAAGATTGGGACTCGGCAGATGATCTAGTTATTCTGTCTCATACACAACAACAAATGCAGATGAGTCGGCCAGTGTAGCGGTAGCAACCTCTGCTGTAGTAGGTCTCAACATACACAAATCGAACAGTGAAATTATCCAATAAAACATAGCGAACACAGACCAAGTCACACTTGATGGAGAAGTTCTGAATGAGTTGGAGACTTTTGTATTCCTAGACAGCATCACTGATGAGTCAGGTGGATCTGATGCAGATGTCGAGACATGAATTAGCAAAACAAGGACAGTATTTCTACAACTGAATAACATCTACAACTAAAACAACTGTCATCAAACATCAAAATCTGAATTTTCAATATAAACGTCGAGACAGTAGTATTATATGGAGCGGAGATTTGGAGAACTACGAAAGACAACATGTGAAAGGTACTGGTGTTTATGAACATTTGTCTGAACAAAATACTTTTGATCTGTTGACCAGCCACTATCATCAACAACTTACTGTGGCAGTGAACGAATCGTCTTTCAGCTGAGTAAGAAATTAGGGAAAAAGCGCTGGAATTGGATAGGAAACACAGTGCGTAAATCACCCGACTGCATATCGAAGAAAGCCCTAACATGGTATTCTCAAGGCCAACGGAAAAAAGAGAAGACCTACTGATATATTGTGCCAAAAATTGGATGGAGAGATGTAAGGAATGTGAACAACTGGGAAGGGGAGCCTAGGAGAGAGAGAATGTTGTCTGGCGGCGGCCTATGCTCCATTGGAGTTAACAGAAATAAGTATTAGTAATAGATCAGCCATAGTTTTCTTGATAACCGGGCCAAATAGTAAGTGAGAGATGCTGACAATTGCACACCATTGATCAGGATTAGGTTAAACTTTCTGATAAAATGGGCGGACGCTCTCGGTCGAAAATGTCTTGGCTTTCTGCGGGACGTGTATCTGTGATCATGAATAAGTTTGTTACTGTTCTTTTGATTCAGTTATTCAGTAAAAGTCTTCCTACTCACTCTTGTTTTTCTTACCCAAGTAGCTGGTTCGGGCTGCAAAGAAGTGTATACATCAGTAGTACATAAGAACAACTGTAGAACGTAACACTAACTTATTCTAACAGCTAGCGTACTATCTGAAATACATTCTGTCTGTTGCTAATATATTATGTTATGACAAAATAAATCTCACCAAACATATATTTTTGTCTCTCCTAATCTCTCTTATTATATATATATATATATATATTATAGAATGTTCGCATTTCAACGAATGGGTCAATCCGGTGTTTATCTGACTACCTGTGAATCAGCTCTGTTAAATATACTCTGTGGTTCTGATCATCCTCAATTTCGTGATATTCAAAAGATTATTTTAAAGCCTAGTCCAGATAGTGGTTTATTAACTGGATTCACTATACCAAAAATTAGTTAAATACTTAAAAGAAATGCATCTATGTGTCACTTAATTCTATTCAATTTTATTTTTTCATTATAATCTTATAATAGGATTGTTATTTTATTCTGTATTCTGTTCACGCATGTATCTTATGGTCTATGCTGAAATAAGCTTTGTTTTAATAATTTTCAAATCGTACAATTGTAATTTACTCGAATATTTAGTTAAATTATTGAGTAGAGTTTGCGTATTTTCAATGAGTAATATTTTTATCAAAAAAAGTAATCATAAACCAAGCCATGTATTTTGTGTTATTGTATAGAAGTAATCAAAGTGGTATATTTCTCCAAACTGGTTTTCATTCTCTGTGAACATTCACCGGTAACTTAAATCTATATAATTGATCAGACGGTATGATTCATAAGATTCCCATTAAAATCAGTAATCAATGTAATTCACTTTAACAAAAATATAAAATAAATATTTTCATGGAAAAACACTTGTTCTAATATTCTTCTTATATTAAATGTAGACTGTATACTTTTGAATGTGATCATTTTACGGTGTTGCCATATCAAAAACACTACAAAACTCATTAAAGGAAAAATGCAATTTTGTAAAACTGGACCGGTAACATCAGTTCTTTGTTTATGAACAAATATATTTACCTATTTGGTACGATCGTGCACGTACAAGTTAATAATTCGCAACTGCAACTTAAGTGGCGATGAACGAAACTGATGTAGATTCTTTTTCTTTCCTGCCGTTTTATTAGAGATTAGAATTATTTACATTCGGCTTCATTCAATCATATCCAGTGAATTATTGAATACTAAATAAAAATCACCTTAAATAAGTATATGAATTTATAAGATTGATTTCTTTCTAGTTCATTGTAGTTGGGTATTCAGCATCCTCAACAATATGTTAAGTTCAGGATGCAAAACTTGTTTATTTTACTCGTTTCTTTCTGTAATTAAGAAGTCCCAAGTTTATAACCCCCAACGGTGTTAATACTCATATTTCAGATATGTGGACTGCATTTTTGTCCAAGGGTTTAATTTTTAGGGAAATCCTACAGAAATGTAAAATTATTATCTTAACGTAGCTATATTTAAAATTCAGTCGTTTAAACTACATATATTCCTAAAATCTAGATTATTGCAATTTTCCCAAAATACTGAATACCAAAGCGAAATAGGAAAAAGTAACAGTGAAAGATGTGCATACTGAACATTAATAGACAAAAAAACTAATCAGGAACAGTCATGTACTCGTAAATGAAACACCATTTTGGGTTTGATAATAACGGACTACACCAAAGTCGGGTTGAATCAGTATGATGGATAGTTCAAGTTAGTTTTTGATCGATTTATTTATGAACCATAACTAACAATGTGTATATTGAAACTAAGAAGATAGGATCATTTGTTAATCTAATTCGTCTGTTGAACGTTAAGTCACATTAATCATCCGGCATTGAGAACGTCTATAAAAAAGTTAAGTTCAATTTGTTGGGTAGCTTCAGTTGTATGTAAGGAGTTTGCACTATATATATTTCAGAATATTCGTAGTGGCATTGCATTAGTTGAGCTGAATGGTTCAGTCAGAAGGATTTCATTGCGTTTTTAAGCAATAACAGAAAAGAGCTTAACATCCTTTTCATTATCTAAAATTATACGACAAACTAACTGGAATGAATTTAAATCATTCCTATACCCCAGTTGATTTCCACTGTCTATTAAGGTGCCAATTATTCGGCTAGAGATTATTTTCTGTTCTTTCTGCAATCACCATAATAAAACCCTGAAATTCCAGAGCGAAATTTCCTAATAACGGTCAGAATTACTCTGTGTCTGTTTAATTCTTATCAACACTGCACTGTACCAAAGTAGTATTTTTAATTTCACGGGCAAATGTCACCCGTTCACATTAACTCATTGCTACATTGAACTATATTCAACATTCTAACATGATTAAAAAGTAGTTTAGCCCATAGTTGTTTTGTGAATTTATATTTGATAAATTTGATTATTTTCTTGGAAAAGATCGAATCAAGCTATCCAGAGAGACTCGTTTGCATTAGTTATTTGTATCTTTCCATTGGCAGTTAGGATTGCAATTAATCGATCTCTTATTGGCAACGTGCATCCTGTGCAGGTTGCCTTGATATTACCATTAGGTCAAAAGCATTATAAGCAGGTATTAATGGTGTCTAGCAGTGGAATCCAAGATGCAGATTTTGTCCTATTTCAAACTCCAGCTGAATGCATCTGAATTGATGTTCCACCCGGGACTCGAATCCAATACCGTTTGCTGTCAAGTGAGATCACACTCTTCACTTGCCTACCGAGTTCAGATATACCCTGGTTTGTGCAGTTGGATGAAGCTTAATTCATTTGTGCTAAATTCGGATGTTAGCCGCTATCCATCTCTGTCCAGAGAAACGTCTGAATTATTTGAATTCAGTTGCAGTGATTTACACAAAAATTATTTTCCCTTTAATGTTCACTAAACACTCAGTGCCTTATTGTTTAGACACTGTTCGTTGAAAACTGAAGGAATTTTCTTAAGAAGTTACCATTTCCCATAATGACGAGTATTTATTTGTTATATACTCATAGATGACAACAAAAATGTAAATGATACTTTTAAAATGGTCTTTTCGAGACTCTGACACCTGTTTATCTATTATCGAACATTTAACCGAGCGTTTGAGCACTTCATTGTTACAGTCTAACCACTTTTATATGTACTTGGGATATAGATAATCAGCCTCGTAACAAGTAGTTAATATTTTATCTAAACTACTGAATGAATGTGATTGGCTATCGCCTAATTCTAGTCCTTTTTTGATTGGACAATAAATTTAACCAATGAATGATGATAAAAATAAGAGGATTCTTCGAACTACTTTTGATTACTGCCATTTGTAGTTATCATAAATGGATGAGATATACGATAGTGATGATAGTTGTTCATTCACCACAATAACTAACAGTTCACATGATCCCAATCAATTACAAAAAAATAATAATAATGACCTAATCTTGTTCCCTAGCATTAAATGTGAAACATTGCAAAATCGAAAGAAAAATGATCTATTGTGGAGATTAACAACACCGTTATCATCATCCTCGTCTGCTTCATCATTAGTAAAGTCAACATCTCACTCATTAGCATGCTTAAATCATCATCATCATTTTTCAAATGCTCATTCAAGAAATGTATCTAAACATCACATTCATCATCATCATCAACGAAATGCTCGTCTAAGTATAAACGCTCGAGAAAGACGACGAATGCATGATTTAAATGATGCTTTAGATGATTTACGCAGTGTTATCCCATATGCTCATAGTCCATCTGTAAGAAAATTGTCAAAAATTGCTACATTGTTATTAGCAAAAAATTACATTCTAATGCAAGCTAATGCAATAGATGAATTATACAAATTAATCATAAGTCTTAATTCACAAATTCAACAATCTGACTCGTTATTATTAACTGATGATTATAAAGCAATTACCTGTAAACCTACCATGTCAACATTGCAAGATACCACTCAGCTTGATAGCAATAACCATGTTACAGGTGGTGTTTTGCATACACCTCCTGTGTATCCAATCTCTTCCACATCTCCACATCTACCTCCATGTTCAGTGTCCAGTTCATCTGAAACCAGTAAATAGAACAACGTTTTTGTCAATAAATTATTACAATTTTGAACAATAATGATCATTTATGGATATTCAGGATTAAACTATTATATGGTTGACCAGTTTTACTGATGAATTCATTTGGTAATTTCAGTTAACAACTTGAATCTCATTTGTAAACATGTTCATTTATGTATTTATCTAACCTTTATTTGACTTTTAAAAAGTGGTGGTTTTAAGCATTTTCAAAAAGTTTGTTGTTTCATTTTTTTTCTGATCAGTTTATAATTTTGTCATGAATATTTTACATTTCTTATGTAATATGGCTGCCCCATTGCCAACTGTTCACATACATTTTAGTAATCAATTCTAGTCGCAGTTTACACATATGCCATCATGATTTTCTCATATCAGTATAAGTCTTTCGTTTTAAATATAATGCATAAATATATATTTATTTATCAAAGATAACACCATTATTTATAGACAGACAGACAGACAGACGGATACAACACAGAACTTCGTACGTAAGTACATTAGTTAAGGTTGCCATACCACATCAGCACAGAGACGCAACTGTCAGTTCAAATCCAAGAGTGATAGTGATAGTAGAATTATTAGCAGTAATGGAGAAGATTAGGGAGCGAAAATATGTTTCGAAAAGTATAATTCAGTAAGATAAATTTAGGAGGAGAAAGGTAGAGATTATGAGGAATTCAGAAGGTTAGAATTAAAAAGCAAACAAAGAGTGGATGCACCTGCGCTATTGCAAACGATTCTAAGCCGTCATTCAAGGTCTCTAACCATTGGTAACTTTCGTCTCGCGGACCCCAACCAAGCAGTCTACATCTACCAACATCATCATTGATATTACTCAATGAATCTAACTTAAAAAGTATAAATTGAAAAATTGCGATATAAGTTTCTCTTTGAATATTAGTTACAATTCGAGGAAATAGCTGATAATTTACGACAATTCTTGATGTATATTAGTGATAAATTTAACACTATTGAATAGTTTTGTGAAACTAGTGACAGTTGAGTAATGAAATTGAATAATTTGATAATATTGTTAACCTGTATTGACGAACTATAGTGTGATTTATATAAAGTTAGTTACCAATTATTAATTTATGTTATTAAATCTATAGTAGAATAAATTTCAAAATAAGTTTAAGTTTAAAAGATAAAAAGAATTTATCATATATTTAATCATATAGAATAAGTATATTTTCTCGAGATAACAATATTAACTGACAAAAGATTCTTAATGAAAATCTTTTAAGTTGATGACATTAGTGAACATGCATTCATTACTGTTTGTGTTTATGCTTATGAAAGTTTTGTTGAATAAAAAAAATTCGATTACTAAAAGCCAACTTTTAGCAAAATAAAATTTTTTTACAGATATGGTGGAGTTACAGCAAAAGTGGTACAAATAAACTTCAGTATCCTAAAATGGCATATTTTAGTCATTGGCTACCACGAAATGACATCTTCTATTTTTACTTCACTACCCTTTTGAATCAAAAGTTTAATCAAAGACTCAAACAGTTATCCCCTACTTAGATTTAAGTGGTCGAGTAATTTCCCTTCCTACACACAAATAATTTATGCGTCATATACTAGTTTTGGTGTAAATTTGTACCAGATTTCACATGTTAATTAAGTAGAGAAATCAATAACCTTACTAGAATTATTGGTTATTAAATCTTAATATTCTTGCATGATTTACTTTTTTGTTACATATATTCTTCTTTTCATGCTAATGGATAATTTGTTTTAGAGTCGTTTCTCACAATAACAATTTCTATTAAATAAGTGAAAATACTTCTCCATGAGGTTGGGATTATTTTTTATGACAGGTATCGATTAATAAACAGTTACTTTAATCTAGTGAGACAATATCAATGTTATACTTGTTATTTATAGATAAAAATATATCATAAAGTCTATTACTTTTCTCTACCTTTCTGATAAATTCATTTTTCTATGTGAAATGTTAACTAGAGTAGTTTAAAATGAATTAACCAATAACCGACATCGAGTATCCAGTTGAAATTACCCGGTTCATATTTAATCTTCATATATGCATAAGAAAAGAATATAAATATCAATTTGAGCATGAACATGTATGAACACTGAGGTGCAGGTATCATTCACTGGGGAAGTTTCAAACAGAATGAAGAATGTATCGTTGTTTTCACTACTAGCCACAATCCATTCTAAATAATTTATATCGAAGCCATGCACAAAGGATGTACAATACGCCAACAACAACTGATCATAATTCAATGCTTAGTATTAACCATTGGAAGAGAATTAAAGAACGTAATAATTATTAAATTTGTTTGAATTAGTCAAAGCAAAAATTACTTGTTACAAGTCGATAAAGTAAGTATCTTAAATTAGATAAAATTTTATCATGGTAAAACGTTTAAATGCTTGTCAGCATGCTTTCGAATCACATATTACTGAAAACTCAACAATAAAATAACTCATAATGAATACATGAATTTCTGAAATAACAGAAATTATTCTATCATCTGAGTGTCTCTATTGTTCAAGTGATTAACAAACTGCAGAACACAGTTTATTGAATCAATGGTTACTAGTCAAATTAATAAAAAAAACAACCGAATCTACAGTTTTTCCTAAACATTCATCAATTTTTCAACTTTCTCTTACGTACAAATTCACAATCATCATCATAATCTAATCTGTGCATGGTGAACAGTTACGACAAAAAGAAATGATTAATCTGCATTATTTGTTTTTATGCATCATGCTTATTCTTGTTCATTTTCTTTTATACACAAATTGTAGCAGGATATCCAGGTGAATGTTCAGATAACACTAATCTCTATTAAGCAATATATATTTATATAAATAATCTTTTTATCAAGTTAATTGTCTTGAAAATTCATTTCCCTCCGTCCCCAAATAAAAAAACAAGAGAATAATAAATTATTATTATCATTACAATTATTCACGGCCATTATCATCCCTGTCATCATTGGAACACTTCAAAAAGAAGTGAATAAGATGAAAATGCAAAAAAAATAGAAGCGAAAAGGTTGAAATGGACCAAAACACACATACACATACAGACAGATAGAAAAATAAAAGGGAATTAGTTGGTTAATCATTTCCACAATTACAACACTATAGACAACTTCATTCAACAATGTACAATTATTTATTTGCCGCGCTCCTATTGAATAATTAAATTTTCACTATATGAATAATAATTTACTGTGAATGACGATAAACACACACAGTTATGTCTGTATTTCGCGAATCTGAACAGATACACACACACACGGTTGTTCTCAATACTCGAATGTTATTACCTCACACATAAATGAGTTAGTTGTTGTTTCTCTTAATCACAAATCTTTCCTTTTCATGTCATTTATTTTTTATTTTTTGTTGATTAAATTATCTTTTTATTTAATTCATCAATTTAGATTTGTTTGTTTGTTATTTCAATGATCAACTTGGTTCATATCTATCTAATTTATCCTTTAACAATAAAAATAATAATAATTCATTTGTGTCTATAATTATTTTTTTTTTGTTGTACAGAAAAGGAAAAATACTTATACAAAGATAAAACTTATAAATTAATAGAAAATTTTGTTAATAAGAATCATTTTATCTACTATTTACATCATTTTGACGGTTTAGAAGAGAGAAAAAACAAAGAACTCAATTTGTCAGACGCCAAACTTATCTTATAATCGACAGGTATATAAAAAATAGACTATTTTCCTTCGTAAGTGTCTTATTTCTGAGTGGGGAGAGATACTTTTCGTGCTCCTGAACAGATACAGATAGCTCCCTCTAAAGCCTTGACCAAAGAGTCTAATCCATAAGACAGTTGTGCAACTTCAGATATCGTCTCATGTTAGCCAGTGTAAAATATATATTTATACATATATTTCCTCAGGATCCTAAAGTCCATATGCACCGTCGGTTTGAAATTTGAGTATTTAAACTAGCTTGTGTGAATATCATCAATTGTTTAATGACCGGATATCCGCTGTCCCCCAGTTTCGTAAAAAAACATCTTTGCCTAAAAAATGCATTGGATAGCAGTTCCCTTGCAATGGCTCTAAATATGAGGCTATAGTGAAGCACTTCGATATGGACAGCAAATTCCCCACCCCCCTCAATTGTACGAGTTTTAGTTAGAAACAGAAATAAATGTTTGAATTGATATGTGAGATACTGCTTTTCAAAGTGAAATTTCTAAAATGATGAATGTAAACATTACCTTCAGAGTGACTCAGTGGGGAAAAATAACATTAACACATGAAACTGTGAATTACTGACTCCGTTCGAATTGAGCGGTATTGACTGAGATCCGTTTGTATGCTTTTAGAAAGCACGAAATTTTCGCATTTTATTATGGATTACTAAATGGCATCAGTGAACGAAAATATGCTCAATATTCAGCTCTTAGTTTCTTTGACTATTCAATGACATACAAAACTTTATATTACATTTTAAACAGTTAGTCCCTTTGATAAAAAATCAATAATTCGATCAGAAGATGAAGGTTACCAGAGTTATGTGATCAGATTTTACTCAGCATAATTTTGGTAAACTCCATATTATCGTTGTATAATATCATAATTACTTATGCTTTAAATAAATTTATAATAATTTTTAGAAGCGTCGAGTCTCTGGTATAAAATTCTATCATTTCACTAGAAAAACAGTCATTCTATCTTCTCCCTCGGAAATACGTGTTAGTACTCTGGTTTTCATCACTGTCATTTTGCAATAAATAAGGAGATACATACATATTTTACCGCTCATGATACAGAAACTGATGAGTCATAGACCTGTAAATTGCGATCAACAGGCTAGCTTCTTTAATCATCTATCTTTTATAGACCGATTCATAACACTACAAATTATTGTGGAATAATCAATTGAATGGAGTTCACCACTGTATATCAACTTCATTGACTACCAGAAAAAATTTGACATCGTGGAAAGGATCACCTTATGGACGCTTCTTCGACATTATACTGAACCTCAGAAGATAGTCAACATCATACGAAATTCTTACACTGGGACAGCTCATAGACACATTTGTAGTAAAGGCCAGTGTAAGACAGGGTTGCTTACTCTAACCCTTTCTCTTTCTTCTCATGATCCACTGGATTACGAATAGGTCAACATTTCGGGGGAATCACGAAACACATTGGACAATCCTGTTGCTGCTGAAGGATTGGGACTCGGCAGATGATCTAGTTATTCTGTCTCATACACAACAACAAATGCAGATGAGACGACCAGTGTAGTGGCAGCAACCTCTGCTGCAGTAGGTCTCAACATAACCAAATCGAACAGTGAAATTATCCAATACAACATAGCGAACACAGACCAAGTCATACTTGATGGAGAAGTTCTGAATGAGTTGGAGACTTTTGTATTCCTAGACAGCATCACTGATGAGCGAGGTGGATCTGATGCAGATGTGGAGACATGAATTAGCAAAGCAAGGACAATATTTCTACAACTGAATAATATCTACAACTAAAACAACTGTCATCAAACATCAAAGTCTGAATTTTCAATACAAACGTCGAGACAGTAGTATTGTATGGAGCGGAGATTTGGAGAACTACGGAGGTCATCATGAGAAAGATACAGTTGTTTATGCAAAATACTTTCGATCTGTTGACCAGCCACCATCACTAACAACTTACTGTGGTAGAGAACAAATCGTCTTTCAGTTAAGAAATTAGGGAAAAAGCTCTGGAAGTGGATAGGAAACATCGCGGAAACCACCCGACCGCATCACGAAGAAAGCCTCAACTCGGAACCTTCAGGGCCAGAGGAATATACTGCGCCGCGAGTCGGAGACAGGCATACACAGGATGGATGGTCATTCAGTAGAAACCGAAAGGTGAGCCCAGGACAGAGCGGACTTGTCTCAATTAGAGGTGACTGACATAATAAAGTAAGTCAGTTTGGTATTACAAATGACCCACTTATTTGCAGACTAAGATTCCTTACTTTTAGTGCACGGTGATCGTTGCACACTATCAGGTGAGCTTTCGAGTTGAGTTAAGAAAGTAAATCTCCCAACTCTTCTCTGTCTTCATTGGTCGCGTCTAGGCTAGATGTTACGCCATATGATCAGCATATATTCTAGCTATGTTGTAGGCATTAGTAATATTAGTAAAAAGCGGAATCATAATAATGAAACACTAGCGACTAGACAGCAGTGAATAATTGTTTTGTACTATCATTTATTTTTAAATTGTTGTGATAAAAAAGTATAATCATATTGTTAGACGGTTAACCCAATGAATACAAGCCTTATGAATTCCGAATTGAAATGAGGCCTATTCAACATTTTCATCACAGTATCTAATATAGTATAAACGTTTAGCGGAAACATTCACTTCTTATCTTATTATATGCTCTAAAATTCAGTATTTCTTCGAGTATACTTTTCATCTAATCATTACGAATTATGTTTTTAATGTTTTTCCTATTTTTTTTAATTATCATTATGACTGCATGATTTTGACCTCTTCTGTTACTCATCTTTTTGTGGTATGAAAACTTGAAATAGCGAACAATTATTTCAGGTTTCGCTTTGATTACGACAATTTACTAAAAATATCAATAACTATATTCATCAAAAGCAGACAGTTAAAGTTTTGGCATCACATTTAATCCAATGTTGATTTGATATCGTTTAGTTTGTTTGTTTTTTTTCGAAGCAGATTATTTTATCAATAAAAGTTGTGAAATGTTTGCAACTGAATAATAATTCCAAGCAGGTAGTCTCCCTTTGTTGTTAATTATATGTAGTAGATGTTCAAGTTAATCACCTTATCACATACAAACATACACTTCACCTTTAAACAATAGTTAAATAAGTTGATGATTCAATCTACAATTGAATAACTGAAAATTCAGTGTATAGAAAGATGATAACGGAATTTGTTGAGGAAAATATCAATGAAGAGAAAAGAAAACACACGCATCACTATTTGTTATCCATTTTAATATATATTATTCACAATTCTTTTCATATACATGTTTATATCTACAAGTGAGAAGAAATTATTTTAGAAAATTATCAATAAATGATGATAAAAGGCCAAATTTTCAATAGTGTTTGTATAGAACATAAAAACATCGTCGCAAGTTTCATGCTCTCCATCTGAAATAGAGAAAAAAAAGATGAGATATTAAGGCAGTGTTTGAAGGGATGAAATTAATTTTATAGATTACATCATGGACTGACAACTAGCTACAAAACTACTGAGAACCAGAAAGCACTGGACAAATGTTTCATCCTAATATTAAGACTTTTTCTTAGCATTGCGCACCCATGACATATGAATCATTGAATCTCAAATGAATGGTCCAAAAGTTATGCACTTGTTGACAGACACCTAGGCCGCGAATTCAACTCTCAGTGTGATCGTAAATAGACACAATGCTGAAGAGTTTCGTATAAGAATGAAATGGATGTTCAGTGCTTCCCAACTCCTTTCAGTTAATAATTTTAATTACAAAATTATGGTAGACGTTTGCTGAAATTATAATGAATCATTTTCGAAAAGCATAATTACTAAGTGATCTCATAACAGAGATATGTAAGAGTAGTTTTATAAAATCAATGATAACTGATAATAAACATTTTGAAATGGGAAAAACTAATATTTATCTAAAAACAGAGCTTATGAAAAATAATATTCATCAGTATCTTCACCTGATCGGATAAATAAATCTATAAAGTCTAAGGTAGTGTAAAAATTCACAGTTACAATAACCCAAATGGAAGATGAAATATGCTTGTCAAGTATTTGGTTTATTCACCCAGGTTAATATGGTTTATAGTGAATGGATGAAAACACAATGATAAACTAATACACTACACTGAATCATATGAAGAGGTAATGAACATGATTTATCTCCTACTTCGAAAAACTTTAGGTTTTATTAAGCTGTAAAAAATATCAACAGACATCATATTAGCATACAATTGTGAAGAATTATAATTTTATAGAATTTTGTTAACAAAGACTAGAGATAAACTGAGACATAGGATACAGCTTATTTAATTGATTAACTCAATTTCGTAATAGGGTTAATAGAATCGCTTATTATTTTTTTGAAAAGAAAAAAAAGATTAACAATCAAATCTTACAATTTTAATATTCGATCTTTACCGCCTGAAACTACATATTGTCCATCAGGACTCCAATCTAATGCATAAACTGCATCTGAATGTCCAGGTAAATCATGTAATAGATGACGTTTGCGTTGATGAATGAACGATGATGAATTGGATCGTTTTTTACCGGCTACATCACTAGCGAATATTTGTTTTTTCTTTTCTTCTTTAGTTACTGTGACAGATTCTTGATTCCAACGACGAGCTTCAACAACAGACCATACTTTCACTGTTGAATCTTTAGAACATGATACAACCAGACGACTATCACTTGACCAAGAGACTAAGTACACATCTTGAACATGACCAAACATAGTAGCTAAAAATCTGATAGGATAATTATATATCAAAAGCAACAATTCAATAAATTAGATTATATGAACAGCTTGTGATAAACATTAACTTTACAATATACTATTTACAATTTACTATTTATATAAATAAAATATAGATGTATTTCTATCATCTTTTTAAGTCCATCTTAGTTCTTATAAAGAATACAATATAGTGGATTTTATTTTTACCGATATCTGATGGCATGATAAACCATTCGATTTCATGATATCCACGATATCATTGGGTGGATTTCAACAAATCAAATCACGAAAGCATAGACAAATCATTTTTGCACTCAGTCAAAATAACTTTGCGATGATACAGAAGGCAGTTCAGACTAGTGTTAACCGTCTTAACTTTTACCATATGAACAAAACGTTTTCGGTGAGAGCTTCTTAGAAACGCGAAATCTATATCCAGTGATTATCCGTAACAAGTGAATCCATGTTTACACTTATCTGAGTATAATGCAGAAGTGCATCTACACTTCACTGATGTGAAGTATACACCACCTTTACGGACGTTGATTTCTAAAGTATAACTGAAATTTAGGCCATCTGTGTTCCACTAAATAGTAGAATAACATCTGAATCATGGTCGAGAATTCCTACTATTTCTATTGGTACAGAGCACCTAGAGAAACAAAATATTCGCTCTCCATCTGAAAACGCTATCATAAGGTCTTACGTGAAACTTTACTGGAACGAATATTTTTAAAACTATGAGGGAGAAGAAATGAATGTCTGGTCATTAAGGTAAGCTTTCAGATGACGTCGATCCAACTATAACCCATTCGCTGTAGCATTCGAGATCTAACCAGGTACTTATGCTTACTTAGGCTTCATTCCTACTACGAAAGTTAAGTATCGCTTGCATACATACAAATAAATGTGACAATTAGCTTATGATTAACCTTTCTCAACTACACACATTTCAAGATTTTATCTAACAAAAGATTTAAAAATAATTTTATCAAGAAAATACTTACTGTCCTGTAAAACCGTCCCAAATTTTGACAGAATGATCAAAACTGGCACTGGCAAGAAGACGACCATTTGGAGAGAACTTCACATCGTTTACAACTCCTTGATGACCAGTCATACGGGGAGCAAGTGGTTTTTTATCAACTTCTGGTTGCCATAAGGAAAGTGTATTGTCATCGGATCCGGCTACCAATCTCTCCGGTTTAGAACCCTAAATTAAACAGTAACATCTATATATTATCAAGATAGGTATAACAACGTATAATCTCACACTAAGTTGCTTAGTTTTTAGCAATATAGGAAAATATTAAAATAAACTGTGGGGAACCTTACTTAACGAATCCTCTTACTCAAGTGGATAATGAAATTACTGAACTTCTTTTGTCTAGGCTGATTTGACAAATAGAACTCAATAAAATAACTGTCACTACTTATCACGTGTCAAAAATTCACACCTCTTTTGAACATTATTTCCAATCACTAAAAACATGTAAATTCTGACCGAAGTCGGTGATGTAACATGGTAATTTAGATTGCCTTATAAATATATTACTTTTGAGACCGATTACGATCTAACAGATTTCAAATGAACATATGAATAGGCAATCGGAAATACTAAAACTAGACTAGCATAAAAATTAGTCATAATGATAGTTACAAGTTACAGGTAACAGATCGACAATCCATTCATGGTATGATGACAACCTATGTTGAACGATAGTACCTGATAAGTGTCATTGGTCTATATTGTTTTATAAACCTTAACTAGGAAAAAGAACCACAATACCTTACATGAATCGAGATAACAATCATGGTGTGACTACAACTGTTAACCTGAGACAATTTCAAATAACGTAGACCTTTATGGTTGTCGATAATTTGATGTGTTAAATTTTCGCTTCATCTATTTAGGCCTGTAAACATGTAAACATGTGTACATTTATCAAGCCAAAAAAAAATAAGCAAATTAAGAATGGCCAAACAAAATTGGAATTTGTAAAGCTGTTTACAGTATATGTGCAAAAATGAGAATTTACACACAAAAATATCATTGTCAACAATTATTTTAGTTGTCCAATATATTGCTTAGAATAAATTATAAGTATTCGATCTACTAGATAAATTACCTTAACTTTTTCATACAGTAATTTTGCTGTTTCAGCCAATTTCATCACTGGAAAACATTAAAATAAACAAGTGGACATTTTATTTGTTAGAATTCAAATAAACAAAACATACATTATGTGATAATGAGAATACTAATTAAATAGTGGAGGTAGTTACACTTGTGTTAGGATATTCATGCAATATACTAAGACTACTGTTGGTCAATTCATATTGGTTAATTCATACTGGTCAATTTTATGGTCGTCCTAGAATCAGTGTCACGTGCTCCAATGTTGTTTCTTATTGGTTGTCCTGACTATCATGTCACTTCAAATGTTACTTCCTATTAGTCGTCTTAACTGTCAATGTCACAGGATTCGATGCTGTTTCCTATTCGACCGAAATGTATGAATATGCATTATCTGTAACATTTTATGACCAGGACCCAGTCCCGGGTGCCTAGTCCGGGATCCTGATTCTCTCCTGGACTCAGACCTCGTACTTTCTGGATGCTTGTAGAATACAGGTTCTACTTCATATCAAGTCTTCTTATTTTCACTCAATATGGGGGTTGGGATAATCGGATTAGAGTAGCATCTCGTGTCACCGGATCGTCGATCCACGCTCTCGTTTTGCGACTACGTAAACTCGTAATAGTTCAAGTATATCAAGTTGACGTGTTTACGTGCAGGCGTAACAACATACATAATCATGTGTCCATTAGTGATATTAAACAAGAACTGTGAATAGTTGCATATAATCAAATGTCAATTAGCGAATTTCGATTCGTAGAAGAAAACCACCAGTCAGGAAGAAGTGATGAGGGTAAAATACAAAACTTTGGTAACTACTGTTTTGATGCGCTAAATTGTACATTGTTATCGGATATTGTTCAAGTTCTTTGGTAGTAATTCTACAATAGCTCCCATTCAAAGTTATATTTCGACCGATTAATTGTTCCTTTATCTTTTATCTTACAGGAATAACAACCCAATTAATTGTAAGCATATTTAGTGGCCCGGAATCGGACTCCAATCTGTATGAACAATTGGGTATGTAATGAAATAAATCTCTCATTTAATTTTCGCATATTATTTTTAGGCGAAACGACTTATTCTGGATGAATTTATTTTAGATATATGCGTAAGCGACCAACACCTTGTGATGAGGCATAATAACTAAGTATTTATGGCCAGACAAAAGTAAACTAAGCATTTGATAAGCGAAGTAAGCAACGTGCATACATACTACTTAAATAAAAGCAGCCACGGTTATAAGCGAATAGCTGGTATGGTCAAAATACGAGCGAATAATAACCGGAGAAGAATGGGTAACTAGTTTTTCCACAGGATGGGACAAACCATATAGACTCGATATATTATATTAAATATTTGTAACTTTCTAACTAGCTCTCTAGTATCTAAATAAAGGTTTGATGAAAAGGGAATTTTCCAAAAACTGAAGAGATCATCATGGTCATCAGAGAAATCACAGGCGGCAGAGCAGCATGGTCAGCCAACATTCCAGCTGAGACACTGACAGCACATAGCGATTACTAAACACCTCTTAAACACAAGACAGTAGATCGATACCTAGCAATCCTTCAGGGTGTTTGGTATACAACTAATCTCGAGTCTTCAGCATCATTACCGATAAACAAAATGGATCTGATGCAGGTGTGAAGACACGGATTAGCGAGTAAGTAAGTAAGACATGGGAATTTGAATAGCCCATCAATCATGCAATGTATATAATAACGGAATTACTGAAGTTGTGGTTTATGACGTAGAACTGAATACAATAAAAATGACTTTTGGGAGGTGTTAAACTGTAACTGGAGTAGTTTTTTATGCCTTCTAAGAGCTTAATAGTGCTAAATAGACAAACAAAGAATTCAATAAGACATCTCTGCTTAGAAGTATATCTTCAATATGTTAAAGCTCCTGACAATATGAAAAGGATAAACAAGGGAAAATTAGATAAAAAAACAAATGAATTTATTCTACTTTTTGATGATTCATAATGTTCAACTTGTTATTTCTAACAGAGTACGCCATATGCTCTTAAAGTTCAATCAATTTAACGCTAGAAGCCTTCGAGAATTCTACTGAAAAATCTTTAAAAACTCGGAAACGACTGAAAATAATTTGTTCAATCAGAGTTTTGAGAAAACGATGTCATATCCTTAGAGAATAATTGACAATTTCGTTACTAAGTTTAGCATGTTTGAAAAAGCAACTAGGATATCATGGTCCTGTGTACACCTACAAACTTTCCTCGTTATATACACTCAAATAACTTTATGAAGTAAAGTTTGCCCCCATGCTTAGTCTATTCTCCTTTGTTCTGGAGAACATGGAAGCGATCAATAGGTAGTGTTAAGTGTTCAAGCACATGATATACAAGTCAAGACGTTGGATTAATAATCTCATTAAGGTTATCTTACATAAGAAGATTAAACTAGTGAACCAATAATTAAACATATAACACTGGTTTTTAACTACCATTGGATTTCTTACACCTGAGCACTTATTTCGCCATATATTTTTTGTAGGTTTTGCAGTTCCTTTTCTTTGCTAACCCGGTTAACGTACCGTTTTTCCTTGGTTTTCTAAGAACATCGTTTATTAAATCCATATAATGTTGCTCTTAAAGTGATGGGGAAAATTCCTAACCGTCGTTAGTCATCTTGTTTTATACATAGAATTTTATCTTTAGGTGTGTTCCAATGTGAAATTCTCGGAACGCACTGTTCCAAATATACTAGAAATAATAAATCTTAATGAACAAGACGGAAAAATACTTCTTGAGTTATTGAAAGCCACAACATATATCAGTTATTTAAACTTACCAGTCTCTGGATCTTTTGAAAACACAGGGACTGCTTTGACCAACTGAGCACAAGCAGGATCGAATGCACCAGTGCGTAATACATAATCAGTACTTAGAGCCAAACAATTTACCCAATGTCCATGCAAATTCAATGAACGACATAACACACCATCTTTAGATCTCCATACACGAATCGTACGATCTTGACTAGCAGAATAAATTAAATCTGTTCCACCCCAACGTACGGCCACGACTGGTTTATCATGACCAGTAATCGTATGAATTGGTTGACCAGTGTATGTATCCCAAATAACTATTGAACAATCTTGATAAGCAACTGCAAGTTGTCTACATTCTCCATCCCTAAACAAAGAAAATATTAATGTAACATAAACTTGTAAAATGACTCCATAAAAAGATCATTGTTTATGAGTATAAATATATAATCTTCGGCTCAGTGGTTCAAACAATTGAAAATTTAAATATTCAGTTGAAACTATAAAAAAACACACTTGCATCTGCTTGAATGTCATAAACTACGAACCATCCTTAACCGTCTCACAGCAATCATATAGTAGCAATGCTTTGTGAAAATTTGTGACCACATACTAGTAACTGGTGCCAGTCTTCTACCTTTAAGTTATTTTTAGGAATATAACGCGAACTGCTCTATAGTAGTATACTTGACCTGTAATCAGAATTAACGATATGTTGAATCAAAGTAATAAAAAGCATTTAAATAACGTGAAACAAGTGGTAACTCACAGGTGCAATGGTCTCCATGATACAGATCGTATCCATCGTCCTTTAGAATGAGGTGGAGTAGCTGCTAATTGAGGTTTAATTAAAGGACGAGTTGAGCATAGACCCCAATCATTACCAGTCTCAGATTGTCGCCACAAACAAATCATACCACCTTGACAGCCAGATGCCAACCGTACTCCATCTGGAGACCATGCCAAACACAGAATAGGAGCTTTATGCACTTCTGATCCTGTACTAAGCGGTAATTGAGTGTTAAGATCCCAGAAACGAACAGTTTGATCCCCAGAGCCACTAGCTAGACTTCTGAAATATGATTAAAATGAGATGTATATTAGAGTATTTTTAACACCGCGTTGTAGAAAATTATTTACTATATATGCTAGAAAACAAACCAATTAGTAGGCATGAAAGTTTGTAGGGCTTGTCTTACATAGTCATTAAACATACGACCTAAATGAATGGCAGAAGGAAATTTCAATACATCTGCTTTGCCTCCAATAAAATGATAAGAAACATGTAATAGCCTTCCCACAAAAATTCAACTTAAAAACCCTACTTTTAAGTATTAAATAATGAATTTAACTTATTAAACAAATACAGATCAATATACTTGGATATCATTTTCATTTTGTGTTACAGCTATTTACAGTACCTGATTCCTAAACCAGTTTTATATGGTATTCAGTTCGAATTTACAATAACATAAAGTGCTTCAACCAATAAGCTACTCCACATCAGTAATATTCAGTACATACAGTTACAGCAAAATAATAAACTTGGAGTTTAAGTCTAAAATCTACTCTAAACTAAGCTGTAGTTCTGGAAATTACCTTTTACGAAAATTAATTTCAGCAACGCAGGTTGTTTTGTTTGAGGACCAAACGATCATATATAAAAGGAAGACTAATTATAATTGTCCTAAAAAGTTTTGTCATCTTGCTAAATCACCAGTCAGAATCCAAATTAGAGTTTCTATCTATTCCGTGTTCATTATTTTCCCGACATAATCAATTACAATCCTGATCACCACCGCCGACACAAATTAGTACATATTGGATCTTTACTTGCAAGCTTTTTTTATGCCCTGGCTTGAGTACAAAGGTCAGAAACCAGCTTTGACTATATTTATGACTTAAACTGACATGATTTATACGCTAACATACAGAACCGCGTCAAATCATAAACTAAAAAATAAAAATCATACACGAACAAGCCAAAAGTGGTTGTGCGTAGGGGAGACTGTAAATAATGAACTGGTAACAAAATAGGAACATTAAATCATATGATAACAGTCAATGGATTAATCGAAAGCCTACAATAAATGGAATACATAAACATAGTAATCCACTTACTCGGTAATTGTACTATACTAATATATGTAATTATAACCTATTAATTAGTTCTGACTTTGTTCTGATACATTCAATCTCTTATTTTACTTGCTTAAAGAGATATTTGATTTAAAGCATGGGGTTAATTACAGCAACTAAGACAGAAAGGTTCATCTTAGTGTAAGCCAGAGTAAGATCATTAAAAGCAACTTCAAAGACAATAAAATACAACTTTCAACCACCTTCCATCCGGTGAAAACTGTGCAACCAGAACGGCACCTTTATGACCTGGTATGCTGCTTGAACAACGAGTAACTGGGCGAACTCGAAAAACAGCTTGAGCTTGATATGTAACTTTGACCACAGCTTCAAGACCAGTTGATCCAAATTTCGGCAAAGAAGGATCTGTACCTTTGGCTCGTGCTTGAATTAGAGCTGTTTTTAAATCATCCAAAATTTGAACATCTCCCACGAAAAAATCATACGTCAAAGAATTTTCATCTGTCTTTGAATTAGAAACGAAATTTCAATTTTAGGCAACAGGAGTTAATTATAATTATTAACACACTGAAATCATCAATCAATCGTTGTTAGTTATTATATAATAGGACGTGAGATTAAATAGTTATTCAGAAATAGTCTGTGAGAATGCAGAGACTTTTTCATTACCAGAGTGATTGTAATCGTTATTTGAATCTTAAAGGATTTAAACAATATTTCTAGCTTGTATTTAACACGATCCTAATTAACGTTTATTTGAAACAATATCAACTAATTAATCTTCTTCATATTCTTTACGTAAGTGAGACGCTTGAATATCCTATTAAATGGTGCTTACCTACTAAAAAAAATAAATGAGAACAGTAAAAGTCTATTTGAAAATGTGTTTCACTTTATTATACTGAATAATATCTTCTAATCCTAACCTCTCCGATTACTTCTAATACCTTTTTACTAACTCTTCTATTATTGGATTTGAATTGACAATTATATCTTTGTGCTGATGTGGTATGGCAACATGAACTGATGTACTTACGTACGAAGTTCTACGTTGCATCTGACTGACTGACTGATACTGAAGTGCGTAAGATTACTACTCTATATTTATAACGATAGTTAGCCAGCGAACGATCTGAATTTTAATAGAGCCAGAACAAAAATTGAGGCAGAATAATATGAATTCATTATATTTAGTGATTTCTCATCGACTGTTTACAATCATACATGGAACAAAGTGTAACAATGATGTATGACATTATCATACGACTCATCTTACCTGTTCTAGACATCATTTAATTACTGTCTCATTCTTTCTTGTGTTTTTTATTTGAGCTCTTACTTTAAATGACCTTGTTCACGTACAGATATATATAATTATTATTATTCGTTGCTAGCTCTCTACTCGAACACTACAGGTCGAGTGAGAGCTTATGGCGAACTGTCATCAGAATCAATTACATAGAGTGGTGTCCATCAGGACAGTCTACGTTCTCCATTCTTGTTTAACTTTGTCGTAGATATGCTTTTAGAGTTAACATCATCTTCGTCTGATTTTTCAGGAATGGACCTTCTACTACGGGACACGCTTTCTGACTTAGAATATGCGGGATGACATAGTTCTACTTGGTGAAGACGCTGACAAAATTCAGAGTCTTCTGACTATCCTCAGAAACAATGTAAACAGGTTCGGGATGTGATTTTCCACCTCCAAATGCAAAATGTTGTTTCAGGATTGGCTTGCATCGGTACCTGAACTAGTGATAGGGAGTGAAGAAGTTTAGCGTGTCGACCGCTTCAGTCATCTATCATTAATCTTTTTGATTACTGCTAATACTTTTACTACTTCTACTACTATGGGATTTGAAGTTACAATGGCGCCTCTGTGCTAACGTGGTATGACAACTTGAACTGATGTACGTACGTACGAAGTTCTACGTTGTAAGTGACTAACGGATTGACTGAATTTGTATAATAGCATACATCATTGTTACACTTTATTACATATGGTTGTAAGAAGCCAATGAGAAACCACGAAATATAGTGATTTCATATTATTCTGTCTCAATTGTTGTTCTGGCCTTATTTAAATTCATAAAGCGAACCAACTGCACAATATCCTGAATTTAAACTTTATATACTATTACTTTGACAGTCAATCTTACGCAACATACAATTTGGTATATTTTTAAGCTGTCACACTCCACTAGTACAGAGAGATGAAATTATCAATGTAAATCCTGAAACAGTATTAGTTTTAACAGTATTAGTTGTATTAGAAGAGATTAGGCTTCAAGGATATTTGTCAAGAATAAAATATAAATTCGTTGAATGAAAAACCTATAACGTGATTTAGAGACTTAGGATTTAAGAGAAAACAAACAATAAATTAGTCTAGGCCACTTCTGCCTCGCACATAACCAAATTACTTCATTTTGTAAGGTCTATTAGATAGATAATGTACAACTATAGGCATCCTATTGTATATTTCTCAAAGAAGCCAATTAAGCTATACCTATGAACGGTTAGTAGCCTATGCAAAAAGATCGATGGTCCGCAGAACTCCAAGAAGTCGGATAAGTTACTCTCTTATGTCATATTGTCATTCTTGGAAACATAGTGTTACTACAATATACTAACAAACCAATTTCAAAGTAAAGAATTTACTTTTAGGCAAGTTATTCTGAGGATTATGTGATTTGAATAAGCAATTCTATCTCCTTCTACTAATGTGGTATGGTAACTTGAACTGAAGTACGTACGTACCAAGTTCTACGTTGTAGCTGACTGATTATTCTAAGGATTGACACTAAAAATGACGTCTGCGACAACTGCTGCGAATTTATGTCGGTAGTATACTCGGGTTGTTATAATATCCGCAGTGAAAGCGAGATAAGAAATGAACTAGTGTACAAAACAAATGGAATGTGGTTTAGCAATGGGATCCAGGAGGTGCATTCCGAAATTCAATGCTCCTCGTTTCACATGCCATCCATCTATCTACTTAGGTACCGAGTTCATATAGTCACCCACTTGTGCAATGAGTGAGTTTTTAAATTAATTCGAAATTGATTAGATTAACAGGTTGCTGATATTTTGACTGAAATTTGATCAGTATTGATCGGCATATATAAACCCTGTGCGGATTGCCCTGATATAGCCATTAAGACACTTATCAGTTGGATGTACCGTATAGGAATAAATGCACATCCTGGATCCAACTACTAGTCACATTCCATCTGTTTTACACTAACTTGTTTTATTGGTTATATTGAAGTAATCCACAGAGTATGCACACATCCCAACCAAGAACGATCAAATTTCAACCAAAATACGAACAACAGAATAATCCAATTGGTTCCATAGTTAATGAACTTTGATCTGAATTACTTGGAGCAGTTTTCCTAATTAGAGTATGTAACACCTATGAAATCGATCATTTTCAGTAGATCTATTCTTCTTCAGCTTTCACTAGATCACGAAAAACTTATTTTTATTCCTTCGTATTATCTTTAGATCTGTTTTTACATTTATTTACGTTGTATTTGGGACAAATTAAACTAATCCAACACTGTGTAAGATTTCAAATCGATCAGCCTGATTGATAGTCATCAAGAACAATAGAAGTTCTCTACGTGACAAAAAGTGCAAAAGTTAGCTTATAGTCGTTCAAGTTCTTCTATTGATGCTACTTATTCTTACAATTTTGACAAGAATATATGAATTTTCCGAACTGTTATAAAGTGACTATGTTCATAAACAAGCTTTTGCAAACAAGAAATAATGAAAAATGAATTCTTTGCTCACTTTTTGAAGAAGATTGCTTAATAAATCTGAGAGCTTAGCCGTGTCAACATCTAAAGGAATCCATATTGGCGTCCCAACTTCATTGCCGTCACTATCCGTTAGTTGAATAAACAAAGATTCGTTTGACTGGTCGCTTCTTTCGACTATGTTAACAGTAGGATCGATAGGCATCAAGTGGTTGAGAGCATTTTCCATTCCAGCCAATGGTAACTGCATGCTGGTGTAGCTAGTGTAGATTTAAAAGACAAAATAGTTGCTTATAAAACTGAACAATTATAATGTTTACCAGTACGAAAAACACTAATGTATTATGACACTTGAAATAAAACCGTTAAATTTAGGGAATTGTGACTATGGGGACGCACTGCCTGACGTTGCCACATTGCTTTAATGACTGAACGCATGGGTGAAATGCCGCAAGCATAACTGTCCCTATATACAGGTCAGAACAACCTGAATTAAGAAATCTGTACCAACCATTTAACAACACGCGTATAAACTGAGTATTATATGTAAAGAATCGTATTTTATCTAACCTAATATTTCCTCCCTATTTTTCACCCTTAATTGTTAAGTTGCTTAGTGACTAGTATTTGTCTACGACGAGTTAGAAAACAGGGGCTTCTAGAAGTGTCGTTCAACTAAATATTACTGATGCGATAACAGAGTGAGCTATTGTACTTAAGATATATAATATTTCACTCTCTAAAACAACAAGAACTCCGCCAGTAGAACCTTCGGGGCTACTGCTGGTCCCAAGCCCGGACAAAGGAGGAGGGTTGGACATGGGGTTGGCGACCCCATTCCGTCAAAAACTTACTTGCCGAAAAAACTCTAACCAGAAAAAATAGTTCAAACTGCCCTGGCATTTGGAAGAAGAATTATGACGTCTCGTGATGAAAGCCGAGTTCCCTCGGAAGTCACGGGGCCGATGACCCTTCTGACAACCAGAGCTACCATTCTTTTAGGTACATGGAACGTTCGTACATTGTGGGAGACTGGAAGACTATTTCAAGTTGCGGCAGAAATGAAAAGATACAACCTCGATGTGCTTGGAATCAGTGAAACACATTGTACATAGTTAGGACAACTGAGACTAGCTTCACGGGAACTGCTGTTATACTTCGGTAGTGAAAAGGAAAATGCTTCATATACACAAGGAGTTGCACGGATGTTGTCTGAACATGCACAAAAGGCACTGATAGGATGGAAATCTCGTGGACCCAGGATCATTAAAGCATTCTTCAAAACAAAGAAAGAGGACATTACAATGAACGTCATCCAATGTTATGCACCAACCAATAACTACAATGACGACGTGAAAGATCAATTCTACGAAATGCTGCAGTCAATCGTCCAGAATTGTTCACCAAAGGATTTGACGATTCTTATAGGAGACCTGAATGCAAAAGTTGGCATGGACAACACTGGATATGAAGACATCATGGGACGACATGGACTGGGAGAAAGGAACGAAAATGGTGAGAGATTTGCAAACTTATGTGCCTTCAACAAACTGGTCATCGGTGGCACAATATTTCCGCACAAACGCATACACAAAGCCACATGGATTTCACCGGATCACACTACTCAAAACCAAATTGACCATATCTGTATCAACAAAACGTTCAGAAGGACTATGGAGGATGTGATAACCAGGAGAGGAGCTGAAATAGCATCAGATAACCACTTGCAGGTTGCTAAAATGAAAATGAAACTCGAGAAACACTGGACAACGGGGTAGACAACATCACACAAGTTTAATACAGCCTTCTTTTGGGATACCGTAAAACTCAATGAATTCAAGATAACCCTAACCAACAGGTTCCAGGCATGCATGATATACTCAATGGAGAGGAAGCAACATTGGAGAACAATTAGAAAGGGATTAAGGAGGCAATCACCTCAACATGTCACGAAGTCCTGGGTGACAAGAAGTACCATCACAAGGAATGGATCTCTTTTGATACTCTTGCAAAAATTGAAGAACGGAGGAACAAGAAGGCAGCAATCAATGTCAGCCGAACAAGAGCAGAGAAAGTTGCCACACAATCTGCATACACAGAAGCAAACAGGGAAGTGAAGAAAAGCATCAGAGCTGACAAACGAAAATATGTTGAAGATCTAGCAATGACGGCGGAAAAGACTGCAAGAGACAGAAACAGTCAGTCAGTCAGATGCAACGTAGAACTTCGTGCGTAAGTACACCAGTTCATATCGCCATACCACATCAGCACAGAGATGTAATTGTCAATTCAAATCCAATAGTAGAAGAGGTAGTTAAGGTATTAGAAGTGATCGAAGAGGTTAAGATTAGAAGATATTATTCAAGAAGTATGATTAAACGAGAAAAAAATAGAAAGTCAAAACTAGAGGTGTCTAAGAATCCAGAAGATTAGGATTTGAGAGAACACAAAGAATAAATGCACCGGCGCCATTGCGAACGATTTTGAGCCATGTCGACCAAACCATCGATTACTATCATCTCGCGGACCCCAAACAGGTGGCCTACATCTACCAACATGACTCAGTCCACTCGTCAATGACTTCATGGATTTCTGCCATGTTTTGGTTTGGCCACCCCTAACTTTCTTCCAACCTATTCCTACACTACAAAACAAAGCTCTTCGAGGCAGTCGGTAGTAAGGCATACGCAACACATGTCCCAACCACCTCAACTGATGAAGTTTCAGTACTTCATCGATTGATCTGCCATTCTTACCTAGTACCCGTTTCCTAATAACAGCGTTGCTCACTCGGGTGTCCCACGATATACGAGCAATGCTTCGAAGACACCTATGATCGAAAACCAGTAACCTACGAATATCTTCTACTCTCACTGGCCATGTTTCACAGCCATAAAGTAAGACGGAACGAACTACTGCACAGTACACTCGTCCTTTAGTCAGCAAACGGATATCTCACCTACGCCATAAGTGACGCAGGTTGGCAAAAGCTAATCGAGCCTTCTGTATCCGAGCTGGGATTTCGTCAGTCACAAGGCCATCGGCACTGATGAGACTCCCAAGATAAGTGAAGCGGTCTACACGTTCGACTACTTCACTCCCTATCACTAGTTCAGGTGCCGATGCAACCCAATCCTGAAGCAACATTTTGCATTTCGAGGGGGAAAACCGCATCTCGAACATGCTTGATGGAGATGCCTTGGAGGATGTTAACACCTTTACATATCTGGGCAGCATCATCGACAATCAAGGTGGATCCGATGCAGATGTGAGGGTGTGGCGCGGATTGGCAAAGCAAGGGCTGCATTTCTACAGTTAAAAATATCTGGAACTCCAAACAACTTTCAACCAAAACCAAAGTCAGGATTTTCAATACAAATGTCAAGACAGTTCTACTGAATGGAGCGGAAACTTGGAGAACTACGAAAGGCATCATCCAGAAGATACACGTGTTTATGAACAGTTGTCTACGCAAAATACTTCGGATTCGTTGACCAGACACTATCAGCTACAACGTACTGTGGGAGAGTACAAACCAGATTCTAGTGGAGGAGGAAATCAGGAAGAAGCGGTGGAAGTTGATAGGACACACAATACGAAAAGCACCTAACTGCGTCACGAGACAAGCCCTCACATAGAACCCTCAAGGCAAAAGGAAAAGAGTAAGGCCAAGGAACACATTACGCCGAGAAATAGAGAAAGATATGAGAGGAATGAACAAACATTGGACGGAACTGGAGAGGGAAGCCCAGGACAGAGTTGGCTGGAGGAAACTGGTGGGTGGCCTATGCTCCATAGGGGGTAACAGGCGTAAGTAAGTAAAACAATAAGAAGACCTAGCCTGGACATAGGAAAGCTCTACTGATGGTATTTCAAATACAAGAAATTTTCATTAGGCATTATAAGAGAGTTTGAATTTGATATTCATCCGCTGAACACGACCATTTTATGTGCATTCATATAACAACTACGCAGCGCTGTCGACATAGTGAGATCGGAAGGCCTCATTATTTTTATGAACACTAACAAGCATTTTAAGCTGCAGCATATGGAAAGAGGTCTAAATTTCCAGCTAAGTGGATGACAGGTGTGTCGTTTTTGAAAATGTATTTACTAGTAGATTTGATGTGCATATGATTGGACTCTTCTAAATGATGAAACAAACAAGAACATTGCTCTAAGCTAATTTTAAGTTTATATCAGTTGATTGTATGATAACCTATTATGATATTGTGATAATTATTGGTCTTCGAATCTCAATGTCAACGTAGTTAACGACAGAGATACTACGTAGAATATTACAGTCTATAAGTTTTAGACAAAGCGAAATACACAAGTCAGTCAGTATGAGACGTAACTTACAACCAAGTCTGCAGCAAGAACAGCAAAATACCTAAAACCGACTTTTACTTTCTACGGTCTATAAGCTTATTAAGTGGGGCTGGACAAATAGTATCGTACATACCTCTAAATATGGTAGGTTTTCGACATACTTACCATCCACTGTTGCTACCCATCATCAACCGCCACTATTAAAATATGAGTACATTTAAAAAAACTTATTATCCGCCATATTATTTAATAAAAGATATTGGTGATAAACAATAGGACTGAAAACCTTAAAAATGAGATGATAAATTCAAAACAATCAGCGTCATAATAGATGTCGTCATCTGTCCTACCACTATACCTGAGTGGTGTACGAGTGAATACTACAGAAATTAAAAGTAAAGTACCACAGTGATGTGTTTGAAATATGATATCAGGGGACACGTTGTAGGTGGACGCTTTGGCGTAAAAAAGTTGCCATGAGTTCTTAATGAATAATGGTTCCCACTTAAGAAGTTGTACAACTATGAAAACACCGTTACAAACTGAATATTGGGAGAGTTGGAAACAAGATATATTCTCAAAAGAATGAAAAAAAATATTGCAGGAAGATTGAGTAAGTCATATTCTTTAGCATCCCCAACCAATTCATAAAGATGTCCCGGCTGAATCTTTTAAACATCGTTTTCTTAACTGCATGAGCCATTTTTCAATAAATCTATGACTTTCCCAGCTTTTTACGTCACAAAGTAATGTGAAACCGCACCGAAACAACAAGGAAGCTGAAAGAAATTAATCAGTTTACACCAGCTGACGGGCCCCATAATTCGAAACTATGTGTGTGTGTTGCGCCTGAGATAACTTCAATGAAATAAAGCTGATGCTGTTTTTAAACAAGGCATTTAAAATTTTACACAAGTG